GGAGGTGTAATTTTTTTTTTTCCATTTTCCTCTGGGCCTGCTTGTTGTTCATTCTCACTGCAATAGAGTGACAAAGTGTCCAGTACATAGCGGGGAACGAGAAAGAGAATGAGGGGTTGTGTACAGAGAGTTCTAAATAATAAAATCTTTTTCCTTAGGAGTGAACAGTCTTTATCCCTTCAGATTTGCTTAACTTTTCCCTGTTCTCATTCCAAACATGAACCAAAAATAGGTTAGAGTGGAAAATTAGCCCGTTCACGTAGTGGGGACACTAAGATGGAGGTGTCAAATTGGTTTGAAAATTATTAGCTCACATCTTAGAGGACAGGGTTAAAAGAAGGTTGTTAGGAAATACTAATATTTGCCAAAAAAAATGGTATTTGCCCAAGGAATCCCTTGGGAACAGAAGATGACCGTCCAAATAGGAGACAAGTCTTGAAGTCCATCATCCACACCGCAGGTCCGCAGACTGGCCACTTGCTCAATACCATTCTCCCCATGGGACTGTGTGTTCTTACCAGTCCACAGTCTCTAGTGAAAACATGTTTTAACTCTAATTCTGAGGGATCAGTGCAGTGTGATTTATGGATGAATACTTCTGTGGTCTTCAGCCAAGCCACACCCTTCTGGTTTGCAGAGGCCAAACTAACCTAACATTAAATATATGTTTAACCACAAAGATCTTAGGAATGTGTAGCAATTTAATAACTGCAACTCAGGCCATACTTGAGTACTTGGGCGTACCCTGTACAACCTAAAGTTGGGTTAAGAAGAAACCAAGTCACAGGGGAAGGCTGATATCTCACTTCTAAGTGGGTTTTACCTTTGCCTGGAAGCAGGACAGTTATCCTGTTAGAACCTGAGCTTTGTAGTCAGAGCCCTGAGTTTCTTAAAAAAAAAAATTTCAGTGTGAGGTGCATTTGGCAGTTTTATACATAAATCTTGGATATTTGGGGATACTCGAGAGCAAAGGGAAGGCAGTGGTAGAAAAGGGTAAGACTGTGGATTCAGATCCAAGATGCGAACGACAGGGGCGTATGGTGGCATTTGGGGGCCCTTGCTTCACTGTGTGCTCACTGGGTAGTTGTTGGGTAATTTGTCTTCTGTTCTCCCTCCCTCAGATTTTAACCATTTTTGTGCCCTGCTTTTATAGATGAAAAGAGTCATCTCCGCCAAACAGGGATATTTCTGTGTATAATTGCCTCGTCTTACAAATACTCTGAGTTTACAAAGCCCAGAATTGATAGAATGAACATCCTAGCACTGGTAGTGGTGTTAAACAGTTGGCGCTCAGTTGGAAAACCCAAATGCAAAGGTAGCTTTCGTCAAAGAAAGTCACGAAGAAAGGAACAGTCACCGTGGGGAGGCCAGAGTGGCCCCTACGCCAGGGCAACATTGTTGAAATGAGGAAGGCAACTCTCCAAAGTGGCCTTAATTATGTCCTCTGGCACATCCTCCACCTTCCAAAGCCGTGGTTCTCAACCTTCCTAATGCCGCACCCCTTTAATACAGTTCCTCATGTTGTGGTGACCCCCAACCATAAAATTATTTTCATTGCTACTTCAAGTAACGAGCCCAGATCCTGTGGACTCCCTGACCTGGAGGTGTACGTGTGTTTATCTGAGCAGGGTGGAGGGGCGCGGTGTTCACACACCCTTTCTCTCCTCTACATGCAACGCCCTTACCACCAGTGAGCAGGCAAATCTGATCACTTTTCTCTTAGCACATCGTTTCTTTTCTAAGCCTTTGAGGTGTGGAAAAGGCTATAATTCTTTGTGCAAAAAGGACAATTACTCTACACTGTTGCACAGCATAACCCACCTGTGAAGGCTGGTCCTGCCCGGAAGCCTTCCTTAAGGCCCTCCTCCCCTGCCTGCCTTCCCAGATCCCTCCCGTTTTCCTGCGCCTCCCTTCTCCCAGTCTCAGAGCACACTCTGTTGAGCTCTTTTTATAGCACTCACCACAATCTGCTTCTGCATCAGATTTAATGGTGTCTATTTCTTCCTTATTTAGAGCTCCAGGAGACAGAACCTTGCCTCTTTTGTTTTTTTTCTTGAACATTCTTCTGCAGTGTCTAGGTGTAGGATTGGGCCTGGCCTATATGAGATCCAGGTTTATTAAATGTTATATTTATTGCCAAGGAATCATACAGCCTTTTCTTCAGAGGTAGGAATTTATCACCCTCCCCAAATAGTATTGTTATGCTTATCTATTTGGGTCGGCTTGCCCTAACAAACAATGGCCAGTTGTCCTTTCCTAGTGGCAAATGACTATCATATTAAGAGATATTTAATAAAGGCATACATTTCTTTAATTGTGTTTAAAGTAATATAGGTTATTCATAGTGGGATAGTAAGAAAAGTCTCCTAGAAAAAAGAAACTAGGAAAAAGGGAAAGATTGATCCATTGAAGACATTCTTACCATCGTCAGATATTTCCTAAATAGTATGAAAAGTAGATAATCTTTCACCAGGAACAAGTTTATTTCATTTACAGTTACTGATAAGGCAGCAATTAAAAATGTAATATGCATTTATAGTCTTTAGATTTATTTCATCAAACTGTCTGAATTGATAGTTCATTTTTTATTTGAAATTAGGACTTAAAATGTGTGCCACAACCATAAATTTATTAGACTGGTACTTTGATTATCATTGTTCAAGCAGTCATTTAGTATGCTTTCAAAAATGTTTCATCAAAGCAATAACAAATTTTATGACAGGGCTATTTTTTGAATCTTGAATTAAAACTTGTGGTTTTAACTTCCAGTGACTTATGCAGTTTGGATATCTGGATATTAAGATGCAAGATACAAATGATTATTTGTTTTGAATATTTGGAGCTCAGCCTGGTCTCATATACTAGTTTGTTCACTAAGCAAATATTTGAGAACCTTCTCTGTGTGTGTATGTGTGTCTGTGTCAGAGAAAGAGAAAGATTCCTGTTTGCTTCTCGTGTCTTTTGGGCAGGTATATCCAAGTTTTTGTGTGGCCAAATCTAGCCTGGTCCCTGACTGGTAGGAAGGGATTAGCATGTTGATTAGTAGAAGGCTTGGCATGCCGAGACATATAAAGCGCTCGGCTGCCAAGGTCCGATAGTGCAGATGGACTGGAAGTGGAGGGGATTCAATTACAACGCATCTCGTTGATGAAACAAATCCCTCAGAAGGAGGTTGCCCGAGGAGGGAGGGGTAACTGAGCATGGGGTAGAACTTAGGAAAGAAAAATTATATGATATGTTCAAGATTACATATGAGGGGAGTTTCTCAAATACATGTGGGGAGGGAGGGAATGGCATTCTGAGCCAGCAAGTATCAAGCCACTCTGATATGAAAGAGATCTTTGTCTCTGAACTGTGGATTATTTTTCCCTTATGATGCAAAATATTACGGGCGTAGTTGCAAGAGGATGAAAAAGACAGATTACAAAAGGCCTGGAGTGCCGTGCGAAGCCTGCATAGCCCGTGTAGCCCTTACTGCCTTTGTGATAACGTAGAGGAGACAGACGGTGCGAGGTTCATCAAACTCACTATCTTCACGCCACCCCCCACTTCTCCTCTGGGGTTCTCTCACTTAGTCCCGGTTGCCCAGGCCAGAACTGTGGGTGTTTTCCTTATCTGTTCTTTGCTATCATCCTGGTTTCACATCTAACCAGGCACCAACCTCATCACACATAGTAATGGATTTTTCTCTAGCCCATTCCCTCTCTGCTGTCCTCAGAGCTCCCATTCTGGCGTGCACTCTGTTGGCGGAACAGTCTCCAGTATGGCCCCAGCCCTCCTTCCCTTCCTCTAGTCCTTTCTCACAAACCAGCCAGAGAGGAACTTCTCCGTGCAAATCTTGATCATACCGGTTTCTGCTCAAGATGATGGTGACCTTCTGTTATCCTTGGGTGAAATTCACCGCCTGCTCTGACCTTCTGGACCCTTCAGCTTGGTCTCCATGTGCCTGTCACTACTCTCCACTTGGTGCATACTAGGCCTATCATGGGGCTCCCTCTGTGCCTCACTGGGCTGGGCTCCCAGCTCCCTCCAGATCATCCCAAGACTCACATCTCTCACCCTAGAATCCCCTCTCCTCACTCCCCTAGCCCCAACCCTTGATTTTGCTTCTGAAGTGTTTCTGAACTTTTCAAATCTGAACTTACAGCCCTTGCTTGCTATGTAGACCTTCAGTGCCCAATATCTGCCCAGTCATGACATTTACTAAGCTACATTTTAATTACTTGCTTAATTGTCTCCTTCCTCTAATAGACTGTGAGTTCTGTGATGACAGAGACAGAGTGTGACTTTATTCCCAGCACCTGGCATAGTGCCTGACATGGTAATAGAGATTTATTGCCTATTAGATCCATGGATATCTAAAGTACTTATTCCCACGTCCAGCACAGATAGATAATAACTGATGGTAGCTTTTGTTTGCTATCATGAACAGCACCTATTATATAGTACATAGGACTCTTCTGCATATAGCAATAATATCAAATGTACAAGTAGGGAATGACAAAGCCTGGAAAATGGCCATTGAACATACCAGATTATAAAGTATGAATTTTCTTTTCTAATAAGTTTTCAAAGAAGTAGTGAAGTCAGAAGCTGGTTTATATGACACGTATGGTGTGTGAAGCACAACAGCACGGGGAGGAAGTGGTGACAAAGCAAGGATGAGTTTATAAAAATGGTCAGCTGAAAAAGGGTGATGGTTAGTGTCAAAGGAAGGGAATGAGGGATGCCCGGCACGTCCATGGGCTGAGGATGGGAGTCCAACCTAAAGATGCAGGTGCAGAGTCAGGTCAGGCCTCCAAGCAGGAAGACCGGTCTTGCACCAGTGGAAAGAAGATGCCTCACATATAAAGAAAAGAGGACGGATGGGGTTGCAGGAATGCCTGCAGGGGTCTGGGGAGGAAGAAAATAAGGCAGTAGTGACAGTGATGGAAGCATGTTGTATTCTGTTGCACAAAAGATATCTTTTAAGTAAACCTCGTATGCTCTTTTTTTTCCAGCTGTTTGGGGGTCTCGTCTGGATTTTGGTGGCCTCCTCCAATGTTCCTCTACCTCTGCTGCAAGGATGGGTCATGTTTGTGTCCGTGACAGCTTTTTTCTTTTCCCTTCTCTTCCTGGGTTTGTTCCTGTCCGGCATGGTGACCCAAATTGATGCCAACTGGAACTTCCTGGTAAGGGATTTTTATTTGTTTAAGTCTATTATAAAAAAATGTTAGAGATTTTTATCTTATTCTATGCTGAAATGCCTGAGTCCCTGATGCCTCTAATAAGAGAGAGTAAGTCAGGCCACAGGGGCCACTGTCGTGTCCGTCACGTTGATTGCTTTGCTGGACAACAGGGTTCCTGTTGGTGAAATCCTCGTGTTGACTGGGCTGAAAAATTACTTGGTTACTCCTTACTCAAAAACTGGCTCACTTCATATAATATAGTAACTGCATTACAGTTATTGAACAATTGAATAGGTACCTCTGGGAGATGAATGTTGTCACACATATCTTGACCTTTTTCATTGATTTCTGCTTCAGATCTATATATATATGTGTGTGTGTGTGTGTGTGTGTGTGTGTATTCATTTTTTAAACCCTACCAACTCTTGGAGAATATGTAACTACTTATTTTCTGAAAAGTGTATATACATATACACACATGTATATATATATGTATGTATATGTATACACATACACACACACACATATATATATATCCTTTTCAGAAAATAAGAAACAAGTATTTATATATCTTACTCTCAAACTACTTAGAAAAGGGAATGTTTTATATTTCTAATCAATTCCCATCCTGAATTAACAAGAGTTGGTAGGTTTCAAAAAATGAATTCGCAATGAACACATTTTTTTAAATTATGACGACATTAAATTGGATCAACTTACTTTTCATTTTCCTGGGTGACACATGGAGCCTGTCTTCATGGTTGTGGCCATTCATTCTATGAGGTTATTTTAGAATGTCCCACCAGATCACAAGGTCCAGTCTGTGATGGACAGTGTTAAGTCCTGATCACACTGGCGTTCAGAAACTTAAATCAGACCTTTGGAGAGGCTTTGCAGGTGTACCCTTCAACCATAATACTATTTTATTCAACAGCTTTAGGGCAGATGTTAGAAGAAAATACCTGTTCTTGTTTTATTTATAGAGTGTAAGGAGAATTAGGATCCCAAAGGTTGTCAGCAGTGAAGTCTAGTGAATGTGGCTGTCCTTAAACCAACCTGAGGAACAGTGGCATGGCTTGGTGGAAAGCTAAGAAGGGGGTGGTGTGAAGTGGTTACAGTCCTGCACCAGCTTGTGGCTTCGGTCTCATTTGTTCAATAGCTGTGTAGTCTTGGGCAAAACAGTTAACCTCTCTAAATTTTAATTTCTTCCTCTGTAAAATGGTAATAAGAATGTCTGCCTCTCCAGATGCTGCTAAGGAATCATGACGATAATGTATTATAAAACACTTGGCTCCGAGTCTAGATTAGAATAAGCAATCAGTTATCATTATAATTCCTGAAAGACTCTGAGACTTGCAGTTTGAAACTTTAAAAGTTCTTTTGTTTCTTAGGTTGCTAATGTGCTGTGCTCCTTCACTTCTCCCTTAATTTCTCATTAGTGATGAGAAAATATTTTTTAGTAGTCACCTGATGAATATCAAAAGTCCCTATGAAAGTTATAGACAGATACTGATTTTCTTCTTTCTAAATGCCTGGCTTTCTCTGAATAATGTCTGAATGAGTCGGTTGATCCCTAATGTTGGTAAGAGGCACTGGCTTCTTTTATTATCAGGCTCACGGGAGATATTAGGCCAACATGTGCCACTGCTTCCCTACTGGGGCATCAGTGCTAGTTAATGCCTAGTCTCTGCGCCCACCCACTGCCTCTCCCCAAGTGCTGTGCCACCGACCACCCTGGCTCTTTCTCTGAGACCTTCCTGGGTCTCCTAAAAGCCCAACAAATAAAGGATAAATGTCTGGAAAAGCAATGTCTCCAGGATCCTGTGATGCCACCATTCCTTGGCACATGCCTTGCCAGTGCTTCAGTATTTTTTGGACATGATTCTTTGTCTTATTAAACATGTCTAAACCATCCTTGTTCCCCTTTTGATTTTATTGGGTCTTATCTTGGGTAATGAGTACAATCATTATTATCCTTAAATTTTGTTTTTCTACATTTGTTATTTCCCACTCATTTGTAGTATTATACATGAGGTCAAGAAAATAAAATGTAAGAGTTTTTGTTGTTATATTAAAGTGATGATTGACATTAGAAAGACCTATCAGCCTGTTCCATAGGTCACCTGCAAAGATTATCCTAGGTTTTTTAGTAGTCCACTTTTACTGAGGCAAAAAACGTAATAGCAACACACCCTACATGGTACGGTGGCTGTCTCTGCACAGGACCCATCACATGGAGGGCATGTTTTCAGAGTGCCAACTCTTCAAAGAGTTTACTAAATGTCTCCCCCATTTAGAAAAGATTCCTTTTCCCCCTTCTCTTGTGCTTTTCTTCATAATCATTTTTGATTGCATGATTTGCTTATGATAAAATTTGTAATATATCGTGCTCTAAGTGAGAAAAATTTTTGAGCCATGCATATCATGGAATGGTCACAGATGGTTAACAATTTTTAATTGCCGCATTCTGAAACTGTTAGACATTAATTGCTAAAAATAAAAAAAAAATTTCCCTGTGATAATAGTTAAATGCCACCATATACCACCCTGAAAGGAAGCAAGAATGCATTTTACTAAAAAAAAAAATTTCTAGAACTATTTTTATCTAGGAGAGTGAATATAATATTTCTTATGGTTTTTATTGGTCATAAAATTAAATAATATTCATGTTAGGCAGCTTCAGGATTTTTTCCCAAGCCTTTTGTCTTTGGAATATTCTTGCACACATCCCACACACAGCTGGAATTGTAACAAGACACCCAGGATGGACAAATATAAATTTGGGGTTAGCTTTCTAGTATTTGGGAATATTACAATGGTGAACACAACTGGCCTGGTAGTATTTCTCAAAAGAGTTCGTTGTGGTAAACACTGGCATAAAAATACATAATTAATGTATTAATTAAAATTACATTAATAGCCACGAAGGGAAAGCTCAGCGTGCCAGAACAATATATGTATAATCTCACCTCCACTGGTAGCAGACTCTTAAATGAATCTAAAGTGCAAAAATTTTGTGTTTTTGTCTTAAGTCTTGGTTTTAGAGAGAGAAAGGAGGTAACACCTGCAAAAGATAATGTGAGAGGAAGTAAGATAAGTCTGAGATGTCTCAGATTGTGATACAGACGCAGGCGGCTTGGCCAATCAATGGAAAGCTCTAGAGAGGAGCTTGGCCAATCAATGGAAAGCTCCAGAGCACAGCCGTTCCTTTAAGAGCTTCTGTTGGGCACAGTGTTCAAGGGCTAGTACCCCACTGTGACATACCACTCTTCCTACCCTAGGAAGAGTGTGACCTTGGCTCAAACACTGTAGCTGATCCCTAATCCCCTGCACCCTGTACACCTCACAGATGAGCATCAAGCTCTCTCTTGAAGGAAAATGTGTGCAGTTACTTATGGGTGCCATCGTCTGCTCCCTGAACCCTGCGGATTCATTTCTCCACCCATATTTGGGGAGTTGCTGCTCCATTGTTACAATTTACCTCTTTTATTTGAAAGAGAGGTCAGAGGGAGACACTACAGCCCCTTTTTGCTGACGTCTGTCTTGGGCGCACAGCTGTATTCATCACCTCCCTCTCCCACTGACCGTTTCGCGTTCCTCCTGCCCAGCTCTCACATGTGCCAGTCTTGATGGTTTCCCTGGTGGGGCATCTAAACCCTCATTCCGGAGGGAGCCAGAGTCCCTGGCAGCCACACCCACTTCAGACCATGTGCTGTACTTGTGTTTAGTCACATCGGGGTGCAGAGTGGGGTGGCCCGAGTCAAACATCTGACTTCTACATGTAATTCCTCCTGCCTTCCTTGGGGCACATACACCAGGTCCAAATGTATTACTCTTCACTGCCCTCCTGACCTCCAGCAGTCCGCCTGCTCTCAATGCTAAGGGTCAACTACCCCTGCCAAGATGGCAACTCATTTTTGTTCCCTGCACAAAGAGTCCAAAGGGGCCATAGCTTGTAGTTCAGTGGAGCCCTTATTATCTCCTCTAGCAACAATGTGCCCCTTTGCAGACCAGGACCTCTGACCATGCAGTGCCCAGCATTTTGGAGACAGAAACCATAAAGTCTTACAGCAGGTTAGATGTGTGACAGTAAGTACAGAAATTCCTGCATCCACCCCTGGGCTCCCAGTTTTCCAATGGGATCATACCACTTTTTAGTATATCTGCTGCATCCTGAAGGATGACCCTCCCCCTCATCCTCACCCACCGACCAGGGCTTCTAAGCAGTGCCTCCAGCCAGCAATGCTGTGGTGCTGTCAGGCCAGCAGCTTCCAGATGGCACAGTATATGTGTGAACTGTGGATGCCTGTGGATCAGGCCCTCTGTGAATCTCTGAAAATAGGTAGCTGAGGTGATCAGAAAAGGAAAAGGAAAGCCATACCCCGGACTGCGAGAAGGAGCCGGTATGGGTGTCTCTTTTTATGAGACTGAACCCATTTTACCATCTAGGAAGATATGAGCTCAGTTTCCATCAGCTTACTAAAGGAACTGGTTGGTCTCCTTGAGGGTAGTATATCAGGGGCTCGTATTTGGTCTGTGTTGCTGGCAGGTTCAGTGTTCAGAGAACCAGTAGCTAGTTGACCTTTGGCAATTGGGAATCCATGCTATGGTGGCTGTGGCCACCTTCCCCTATCCATGGCTCTCTATTTGTATGCTCATAAAGCCAGTTATGGGGTGGCCGAGGACAAAGACTGGCTAACGTCAACTGACAAGGTCATTCTGTCTATGTGCCATTCCATGGTGATGCTTCTGGTGAGCGTGACAGATCTTCCCATTTCATGCCAAATCCTAACAGGCCATTCACCACTGACCATGAGTCTATGTACATTCTCACCATGGGTCACTTTTCTTTCCACACAAAGTATGTGACATGCTGACCGCTTAGCTCTACTCATTGGGAAAATACTCCCTAAGCACTGTCTTTCAAAACCAACCTAAATGTGGCTAAACCACATTAGACAGTACACCTGCTATCCCCTTTCACCTGGAAACCACACAGTGAGCCAACTCTTCCACAAACAAAGCTCAGGTTTCCTCTTCTTCAGCTGGCATAAGGGAAGCCCTGTACCATTTGGCCATCAGTATAGCCAGGGAAGGAGGGCAGTTCCACTCTGGTAGGTGATGGAGGGCCTGGGCCACCCTCTCCTGCAGCTGACTCATGCCATCTGACCTTGCTCTTATCTGTCTCAGATATGCCATTCCCATCTCAAGAAGAGTGCAGCTAGGCACTTGACTTTGTGAGTTCGTGACTTCCATGGAACCCAACTCATAAGCAGTAGTTCTGAATGTCTAGTCACTTGGTGTCTTAAGATCAAGTGTTTCTTCTCTAGCAGGGCCCAACAGTGTAGCAGAAGTTGCTTTCAAAGACTTAATTCTCTGTTGCAGTTTCCATGCCAGGATGTAGAACTCCAGGAGCCTGCAGAGTGATCTTCACACTGGCAATATCATAAATTCCACACTGTATCTTCCCTTACTATACCTTAGAATACATATGGCTCAGAGTATTTATGGCTTTAGTAGAGATAGCTGGATAGGGTGACCCAAGCACATGCAGTTAGGAGTACAGGAAGTATATTGAATGGCAACACCTATGAAAGATTAAAGGGAGAGAAATAGGATTAGACAGAAGAAGTCTTTAAACTACGGTTTAATTCAGAAATGGAGGGAGGAGGCAAAACTGGCAGGAATGGAAAGGAGGAGGAGCAGGTGCAAGTAGCAATCATGGTGGGAAGAGCCCTTCCAGCAGAGACTCCACAGTCTGGAGGGTCATCCTTCTTCTATAGAATGATTCCCAGGGCTACAATGAGGCCAGAGTGGCCAATGTTCAAAGACGGAGGTAAAGAAGGCAAAGGCCAGACCACACCAGGAGTTGCAGGCCAGGTTGCCAAACTTTCTCCTTCCCCTCTGAGATAAATCACTTCCAAGGATATACCTCAGTAAGTTAAATGAGTATCTAGTAATTAAAAAAAAAAAAAGCTTAAATATCATTACTAATTAAGATACAGCTTACATTTAATCCCTAAAGGAGTGGCATTTGAGTTGGATTTTGACCTTCATCAAAATTTGTTTAACATTCGTTAAATAGCCACACCTATTTGAGTATTCCTTGTATAGATTAGACACATGGCCACCACATATCACTTTTCTTAACAACTACCGTATGATCCAGGAATTCCACTACCAGTACATACCCACAAGAAATAAAATTAGAAACAGATATATGCACCCGTGTTTACTGCAGTACCATTCACCATAGCCAAGATGTAGGATCAACCCAATTGTCCATCAGTGGGAAAGAGATAAAGAAAATACTGTGTGTGAGTGTGTGTGTGTGTGTAAAATGGAATACTATACCACCTTTAGTTAGGAGGAAATGCTATTATTTGCATCAACATAGATGAACCTGGAGGACATTATGCTAAGTGGAACAAGCCAGGTGCAGGAAGACAAATACTGTGTCATCTCACTTATATGTAGAATCTAAAAAAGCTGCACTCATAGAAGCAGACAGTAGAATGGTGGTTACTGGGAGATGGGGGCAGGGGGAGACTAGGGAGATGTAGATCAAAGGATGTAAAATTTCAGTTAGGAGGAACAAGTTCCAGAGACACATCGTACAACATGGTGGCAAGAGTGAATAACAATGTATTGTACTTTTGAAAATAGCTAAAGAGAGGGTGGTACCTGTGGCTCAAAGGACCAGGGCGCTGGTTCAAACCCACCCCCGGCCAAAAACTACAAAAAATAGAAAAAAAATAGCTAAATAGAATAGATTTGAAGTGTTCTTATCAGGAAAAAAGACAAATAGGTGAAGTAATGCATGTGTTAATTAGCTCCATTTATATATGTTTATTTCAGAACATCGTGTACATGCTAAATACTTTGTATATATAATTTCTGTCAACTAAGATAATGAATTTATTTTTGAAAGAAAGTGGGTTTTGGAACCAGAGGGTGTAGACTTGCATTCCTCCTCCAAATGTTAATGCTTATGTGGCTTTGGAAAAGCTAATTAACTGAAAAGAAGAAAATCTCTGTAAAATGGAGATAATAAATGGGGGTTATATAAAGTATAAAAAGTACCTGGTATATGGCAGCTATTAAAAATAAATACCAGTGTGTTGATGATGTTTTAATTCAGGTAAGACAATGTGAATTTTAATAGAGTTCTGTTTCACATTAATGCCACCAGCATACATAATACATAGCCTAATAAATAACTGAGTTCTCATACTTTTGTAGAGGTATTATTATTTGGCTTTTTTTAATGGAATATATGAATATATGTTAATGAATTCTATGATTTAATAAGTCTTCTGTATATTTCTCTGTGTGGGATGATCAAATGATAAAAATAATTTCTCAAAGATGAAATAATTATACAGTGTGTACAGATGTAGATAACTATAATAAAAAAGATGTTATTTAAATGCCATTTTACTTGAATTGTAAAGACAGTGTATATTATTCCTTTTCATATTATATTGATATTGATCTCTATGGCATCTTATTCCAAACTGACATTATGTTTATGTATTGTATAATAAAATTCCATCTATGAGAAGGTTTGACACTGTGCCAATTAAGATGGATCAGTTGATTTTCACTTGGATTCTAATAGCCCGACATTGCTAACGTAGCCAAAATTAACACCCGGTGTAGTTAAAATGTTTCATTAAATGTTTTCATCTTGCTAAGGCTAGACTTCATCATCTGAAATAAGGAACCGGAAAATCACATATTATTTTTAACGGTAGATATTTTTTCTCTTCTCTTTCAGGATTTTGCCTACCATTTTACAGTGTTTGTCTTCTACTTTGGAGCCTTTTTACTGGAAGCAGCAGCCACATCCCTGCACGATCTGCACTGCAATACAACCGTGGCTGTGCAGCCGCTCCTGAGTGGCAACCAGTACAACATCAACGTAGCAGCCACAGTAAGTGTTCAAGGGGCACTGTTCGCCAGCACTCTCCTTCTGCTGGCAAAGTTTGTAAGAAAATCCTCAGGCAACAGTCGTTCTCTTTATTAATAACCATTAGCATTAAACGTGTAACAGCTATTCATTTGTACAATAATAACCCTATGAGCAAATTACACCCAGTGTTGCGGGTGATTAAACTGCAACACAAGCTGACATTCGTCTAAGATCCCAGCACATCACTGCTTGGCTTGGTTGGCTTTGCACGACACATCTTCTTTGTAAAAAAAATAAAAATGAACTGGGCTTTTTATTTTTTATAACTTTTAGATACAGGAAGGGAGATGGTTCCCAGCGTTGCTCTTTGATATTCAGTGCCTATTTGTAATTCACTTTAATTCCATGAATATTTACAATGGGCCTGCCAGTGTGTCAAATACACTGCTGGGTCTTGGGGACGGGCAGAAGCTTCAGTTCCTGCCACTGAGGAAAGTGCAGCTGAGTGCAGAGGCTAGTCCGCAGCCCTTGCCATAGATGAGAAGCAGATTAAATGCATTCCGTGGGGAAATTTAAAAAAAAATTTACCTTCTTTAATTCATATCCTGGAGTGAATTTGTCATTTTGTACTGACATAGGTAATTTTAAGAAATGATATATTATTTTTGTTTTTATAGACAATTTTTAAGTTGTCAGAAGTCCAAATTATTTTCTGAAATATCTTGATGATATTTGATGACACTATGTAGAAAGTGAGTGGCCCTAATGTTTTACTGTTTTACCCAGATAAGCCAGTATACCCCACATGGTGATTGAAATCCATCCAGAGAAGCACTGTCTAGTAGAGCTTTCTGCAGTGTTAGGAACATTCTGTCAATGTTCTATTCCATGTGGTGGCTGCTCCTCCCATGTGGCTATTGAGCAATTATAACGTAGCTAGTATGCCTAGAGAACTGAACTTGGAGTGTTATTTAATTTTAATAAATTCAAATACCCAGATATGGCTAGTGGCTGTCATATTGGACCACATGGATGTAGAGTCTAGGTTTAAAAGGATAAAAGATAGATGATTTCAAGGCCTACTGTGAGCTTCCCAAGTCTCTGCAAGGATTTGCCAAAATTTACTGACTAACTGTATTGAATTAGACTAAAGATAGGCTTACAAGAGAAAAGAGGCATAGTTCTAGCCTTGAAAGGTTTTTAGTTTAGATCAGTGATTTTAACACTTTCTTTTATAAGAAGTGAAGCCATTTTACATAATGAAATCTCACAGAAAACCCAACAAATGTAGAAAATGAAAGCATAGGGGCCTTAGTTGAAATGAAGGAAGAGGGCCTGGAATGGTGCCCATCCCCTTTTCATGAAGCCATCTCTCCCTACTTCATCATCCCTGGGATACTTGCATAGAATCTTTATGATCCAAGGACTATAGTTGGAAAACCACTGGTTGTGTCAATTTTACAAAGCAAAGTTCAGGAATTTGGAATTTTTTTTTTTCTATGAGACATCAATTCCTTTGAATTTTTCTTAGCGTGTCTTACTTCTAATCCCTTCTTTGCAGTGGTGCAGTCTAGATTCTCATCAGCTCTCCTGGATCACTGAAATAGCTCTAGATTGATTTCTTGATAGGCAGCCTCAGATCCTGCTTCACAAGAACAGACGGTGCTCAAGTACTCAACAGTTGGCTCATGCCATTAATTTCTCATCAACATACCTTGCCCTAAAGACCCATGGTGTAATTTTCTTCTGGCCACCCTCTTCTATCACTTTGTTTTTGATATCCTTCCCTTTCTCTAGCTGCCTAAGTAAGGCTGCCTCAGTAAACTCTACCTGCTTCAAGTTCTACAATGTTGCATTTTATCCAATTGAAGTAAATCTCTAGTTTTTGAATTTTAGTAGCCCTTAAAATGTGTCAGTTAGTCATTTGTCACATAAAATCACATCCTTTACTTTTCTTTTTCTTTCAGTATGCCTGAGAGAGAGGAAAATTCCTTTTCACTAATAATAGATACCAAAGTGATTATTGTCATTCAGATATCTGGATTAGAAATGTACCCGAGAAACAACCAGCAGAAGGAGGGTGGGGAGGACAAGAGAATGGTAATTCAACTGTGAAAATGTTCTCTAAGTGAATCTTTGATACTCCTTTTCCAGAGCTTTGGCTCCCAGGTTAGGAATTCCCATACTGAGTCATAATGTTTTGAACTGCTTTTGCTTTGTCTCATAGTTTTCTGTGGGTCATAAACCCCAAAAGGATGAGGACAGTATCTACTATTTGTTTATATGTACCAAATGTAGTAATGTACAGATAGTTGATACTAAAGAAATCAGTAATTCACAGCAGAATGCAGACTTAAGCATAAGGACTGTCTCCCCAATAAGAAAGAGCCAAGCTGCTTATTCATTTCTATGTGTTTTCTTTATTGAGTTCTAAAGTCACTTTGCATTGGCCCAGAAATGATTTGCTACATCCTCAGGTTCTGGGAATTGCTGACTTCCCTGGCTGTGAAGGCACTGTATGAACAAATCCTTCATACTGAATTTTTCAGTACTGTGTCCGGGGTTTCACAAATGCCTAATAAGTAAGCCTAGTATATAAATAAATGCTCAGCATAAGGCTTTCTACAAATGAGAAAATTATTAGAGGCTAGAATTTTTAAAGAAAGGAATAATAGCATGAGAAAATAAAAACAGTAGTATAAGCAAAAGAAAAATCAATATGAAATATTTTTGTTAATGTTAAGTATTTTTAGGTAGATTCATCAGTCTTCATATAGTTGTTCCTTAGGACATTGTTTCTAATTCATTCTCATAAATCTGATGTCAATTTTTGTTTCTTTTTTAGATTTTTGCCTTTGTGACGACAGCTTGTTATGGTTGCAGTCTGGGTCTGGCTTTACGAAGATGGCGACCGTAGCACTCCTTAGAAACTAGCAGTCCTGTGTTAGTTTCATTTGTCTACTTTACTTGTCTAATCAATTTGGATACCATTTTGTCCAGATGTAACAACATTCCAAAAATATTTGTTTAGTATATATAGAGAGAGTCTAAATGCAAGTTGTGATTTATTTCATGGATGAAATTTTAATTTTATCATGATGTCAAACAAAGAAATAACCTTTACTTTTACATCTTTTCTTTCTTATTTGAAAATGTCCCTTACACCCATGAAATACAAAGATATTGTTCATTAAAGAGTGGTATCCCTTTTATTTGGTTACTGAGTCACCTGAACCTTAATTTTAATAGGTAACTAAAACTCTTTAAGGAACACACATTTCAAATAGACCTCCCACTGAACTCTTATCTTTTAATGTAAAACAGTGATTGGTATGCTTTTTCCACAGTGATCCAGAAGGTAGATATTTTAGGGTTCATGAGACCTATGGTCTCTGTAATGACTGTTCTGCTCTTGTAGCATGAAAGCAACTATAGACAATACTTAAATGAATGAGTCTGGCTGTGTTCTAATAAAACTTTATTTATAGAAACAGGGGAGGCTGGATTTGGTCCTTGGGATACAAACCTTAATCACTAAACAGATTATGAAAGGTTGTAAGGTTATAAACCACTAGAAAAGTTACATAATCATTAGTCTTGTGTAATAATTACATTTCCTTTGTGTTAATGGTTAAGTATATACCCTGGGAGGGGCATGTAGTTTCTCACTAATGCAGACAAACTCCTGGGTATAAGAAAAAGGTAATTTATGAAGTGAACTTGAGTTTCCTAATTAAACTAATGATCTCCAAACAATTGAGTGAGATTCTCATCTGAGAGTCCTTAAAATGGAATCCCCAGAGACCACTAATCACTACTGGCACTGATATCTAGCCACTTACATCTTACTTGGGATTTATTTATGCTTCAGAATAAAGTTGTTTTCCCTGTGCATGAATATATGAATATTTGTGTGTGAATATGTGAGACTTTACAAATAGAGCTCTGAGAATGGTTAACTTTTTACTTCTAATTATTTTGCATTACTCTCTAAGTGACATTTTAACAGTTTATTAAATATAAAGTTGTAGCTTCTTACATGTTTTGATAATAGCTCAGACATCTATGTTATTTTTGCATTGTTGACAGATAGACAAAATCGGTTTTCAAACAATAGCCAGCATAAAAACTGTCTCTGCCCGAAGAGCACAGGGAAGGATTTTAACCCTCCTATACACAGGCCACAGTTCCCACCACTAGGGCTTTGGGTTTCAACTCTTTCAACCCTTTGCTTTGCCCCTAAGAGTGCCATATACAGTATAAGTTGGACTATTAGGTTTCATGGAACACAGGACAGCATTCATGGCAATGTTCAATGATCAAACGATGCTTATCTGACTATCGCCTAGAAAGACAAACCTTGTTAGAGTTTGTCTGGGGGCAAAATTACAAAGACAAAAGATGTGTTTCAATATGTGGCTTGAGGAAATCAGTCTATGACTTTATACTATATATATATATATATATATCTTTTCTATAACATCCAACTTCCTTTGGTTTTTCTAGTTCTATACCACACACCTACGCGTGTATTATGAGTAATATATTACAAAGTAATAAATGTGCCATAAGGGTATATAGTCTATTTTAGTGAGAATCACTTAAAGTTAGTCTGCTAGAATTTAGTTGTACAATTTTATTTTTGTTTCCAAGGTATATCAGGTTTATGCTTGGTGGCATTAAATGATTTCACTAACCTGCTTGGGTGGCACTTTTGTAAATGGGTTGCTTCTAGATCATTAAGAGCCAAGCCTAAGACTCAGCTAACTGTGAATACTTAGATTTGTAGATGAATGACATTCTAGATTTTTAAGTTGAATGACAGAAGCACTTGAACAAAAATTATGGCATTTAAGTATTTCTTTATATATCTTAGCTGTAAAAATGAGAAAATGTTGCTTGGTTTTAAAATCTGGTATAACTCCATGATAAAAAGAAATTTATTTTATAAGTGTTATGACTCTAATAAAGTATTCATTTGGTAATCTGTTTGGTCATCTATTTTTTATACATTCACTTTAAAATTCAGTTAAAGGTTTAGTATAAACTTGAAAGAGCTGCTAAAATTATAGAAAAGAGTTCTTTTTAAAACATTTCTCTGTGTAAAAGAGAGTCTCCCAAGATATATTGGTAAATCTTTTTAATGAAGGTAGAAAAGGTAAGTCTTTGGAAATAATACTGCAAAGGAACTTTAAATAAAAGTTACATTCTATTTTATTTTAAAAGTATTTATACTGTGCTACATATGTGATGTGCCAGGCAGTGTTCTAAAACATTTTTTAAAATATTAGCTCATTTAATCCTCATCATAACAACTCTATGAGGTGGATGCTGTTATCCCATTTTAAAGATTAGGAGGCTAAGGCAGAAACCTTAAAACCACCGGGGGCGCCTGCCTAGCATGTGAAAATGCTGGGATTTAAAGCCCAGAAGTCTGGCTCCAAAGTCTAGGGACTTCATTGCTGTATCTGCTTCAGTCCTCTCAGATTTTTCAGATATGTCCAAAAATGTGATTTTTTTCCCCCCAAAAAAGTTTCTAGCAGAATGTTTAACAATGTAATATGATAGACGTCATCTTGTAGTACATTTTTGTCATTACCAAGGATTCATGATTTTAGCTACAAAAACTTAGGCCAAACCTGCATGATGAGGAAAGGTTAGGCAGCTTTAGTTGGCAAAAGCCCCCCGGGTTCTTGGCTGGCTGTTATTTCTCTGTTAATTCTGGCAGGGACTATGGGGCTTTAGTCTACTATGTTACATGGAGTCAATCTTATCCTGAATTTTCTGGGCTTTCTGATCATCCCTGCAGCTGACTTAGGAAAGGTTCTTGAGTCTGAAACCCACCATTCAATCTTCACCTGTGCACTGTGAATTTCTCCTTCCACATATTCCAGAACCTGGAATTCCAAGTCATTGTCACAGAGGTTCTATCCTTCATAACATTCCTCAAGTTTCTACCCAGGGAACTGATTTCTCAGGTGGCAACTTAACGTATTCATGCGGAAGGGACATGAGTTTGATCATTTTTAGAAAGTATGTATTTTTCAATGTTTTGCAAGCCCTGCTTTGTAAAAAGCGCTAGTTACTTATACATTTTTAAGCAATGTCCTCACAAAGGTCAGGACTAGTGCCTCTCTCTGGAGCACTCTTTTCTCCATTACTGCGCGGCTTCTTTTGGTGCCTTTTTTAAGTCTTTGCTCAACTATTACGTTTACAGTGAGACTCTGCCTGAGAACCATATAAATCTCACACCAGCACTCTCCACTCTCCTTTTACACTTTTTTCATTGTGACACTTATAACATATTTTATATAGAGCACATTTTATATGTATCACTAACTTATATATTTACTTTTCTTTTTTCTCCACTAGAACACAAAATTTGTGGAGAAGAATTCTCTGCTGGGTTTACTACTATATCCCCCGATGCCTAGACGAGAGCAGAGCAAATAGCAGGCGCTCAGCAACTTTAGTCATAAAAATATTGGAAGATTGAATGATTTTAGATCAAATGTCTAATTTGTACATGCACAATTCCCCTGATATAGAGAACGGATTGTACACTGTTTTAAAAACTGTAATCACTAGAGAGGCTGTAAGGTTAGAATTCACCCTAAATTTATACAGACCTATGTTAATTTACCCTAAATTCACACAGATGTAGGCTAAAAACCCGTAGCCATTTTATAGTAGAGATTTTCAAGTGCTAGCAAGGACAATTTTACAGAATAGATTGGTAGGAATGCAAGAGTAAGGCATTATTGCTACTATTCATATTCCTATACGTGGAATATGTTGCCTTCAGAAAATCCAGAGAGACCTACAAAGCATGATAGTTCCATCCTTGTGGTTAAGAAATCAAAATGCAGCCATTTAACTTTTCCCATGGAGGGGATGCCCCAATATGCCTCTGACAAACAGATGCCTAAAAGTTTTACAGAAAGGGCAGGTCCCTGAGTCTTCATAGGAGTCATCTTCTGTCCTCTGGAGTGGACATTTTTAACTAGATCTCACGCATCCTGATGTCATTGATGGAACAAATCAATATCATGCTCTGTAATTATATCCAGGTGATCTAGATCTCTTCAAATTATATTAATATTACTACACATAGCAGGAAGACTATCCCAGGACAAATCTATAACATGGGTACATCACTAGTCCTTGTGAAAGTAAACTGTTTCTGATCCTCTTTCCAACTAGAACAAATTCTTTCACCATCCAAAATCCCTGATAACTCATCTGGCGTGGAAACTACAGTTAGGACCACCACTTGGTATTTTGTGGGCATTTCTCCGAGACATTTGATTTCTGCACGAGCCAGATGATTGAATTAAATATATTTAAATATATAATATAAATATATTTATATTTATTGAATTAAATATATAATATAAATATATTTATATTTATTGAATTAAATATATTTATAAATATAAATATTTATATCTATATTATATTTATAATATGCTTACAACCTTCCCTGCCTCCTTAAGATCCTCAGTAACGGCACTATTTTCTGTCACCTTCCTCCCCATGAAATGTAATATGTATTTTTTTTTAACTTAGTATGTCGGCTGAGGGGATGTGCAGTTTCAGAAACTTCTATTTGGGCTCACCCACTATGAAAGCTCTTAATCCATAAATATCCTATATAAGGTTTACTCCACTTGCTAAGTATGGTAAACCCAATTATATATTTGGGGGCCGGGAGAAGGCCAAAAGTTACTTCACAAACTTAGTGCATTTATTGTAAGCTAAACTTTGAATAAGATTCCATTTATTATCTGTTCCCTAATGCACCCACTCTAATAGTAAAATGATAATGATCTTGTGGGCCTCCAAAAATCAAAGTCAACTTAGTCCCTATATCCAAACCCCCATAAAATGCCTTGTTATTCCCCTAACCTAATATTGGTCCCTTGAGTAGATGATCATACATCCTCTTGAAGAAGGACCAAAGGAATTATTATAGTATGCACTTGCCCTGGTATTGTAGGGTTCTTTTTTGTGGGGAACCAGCCACCTCTTCAGTTCATAGTTTTCGGGTCTTAAGATTGGTTTATATTTGTGAAGTAAGAAAGAAAATGCAAGCACTTGCCAAAATCTTTCTGCTTAATTATTGTTACCCTCTTTTCATTGTGTATAGTAAACAGCACCCTCATTTATCATCCATCCATATTTGCTGCTA